AAAAAACTAAAATGATCACAAAAATCCCACGGGAGCCCATTTTTCGACATATGCCCCCGGACTAAACCTTTATAATTTTATTTTACAAAATGCCTTGCGCCCTCTTACGGCAAAAACTTATGAGACTCTGGGCATATTCTTTGGACTGGGCCAAGCTTTCCTTGTTCATCATCAAAATCGAGGCACTGTATTTTTTTTTTTATTAATATTAATATTATAATAATTATTTGTTATTTAGAAAATATAGTTAGACTAGCCTTTCATCCAGGCAGATAGATAGCTCCTGACTTTTCAAAAAAGGGCCTTGACTTGGCTGGGCCTGTCGGTTTCGCCTAGGGCCTAGCCTAGGGCGCCGTATTCGGTCTAGGCTTAGGTCTAGGCTGGCCTAGGCCCTAGCCTAGTCTAGTTAGTAGAGGCTAGGCCCAGGCATAGAAGAGGGTGAGCACCCATGGCGTAGCCTTGGCCCAGCTAGGTCTAGCCTAGGCCGGGATGTCTATGCGGGTGTTATGTAACTCGTACCCATGCTGTCTCGTACCAACTTTGGCGATCCGTACCACCAAAGTTATTTACCAAAACTAGGCCTAGGTACGTGACTATCGGACGTTGAGAGCCTGATATCGTGGCAACGCTATCATTTTTCCAGCGACTCGACTGTTCAATAGCCCTTTATTGTTTTCGCTGCAGAGGTCGTATTTATTTTTCCCTGTGACCTGAAAATAGTGATCACGTAGTTCACATATTCCTCTTTCATCTAGTCATCAAATCAGTTTTTTCCGACTTAGGTGGGGTGAATTTATTGCTGAAAGTCTAAGTTGTCAAAAACATTTAATTTTCCTAAAGAAGGTAAGTTTATTTTGTTCTGAAACCAGTTTATTGTGTTAGTTTATATATTTATCTACAATTGGGTGCAAAATTTAGATAATCTGAACACCGAAACTTAGTTTTTGAGCGAAAATAAAAAGTGTGTTGTGAATAGAAATTCCCAGAATCTGTTCGTGCAGTGCAGTGTGTGCGGTCATGCATTTTGTTAACTTCAGCACGGAAACCTTGTATTTGGCTATAATAAAACAAATTGCATAGTCTAGAAATTAGAAAAGGGATAGGCAAAGATACTCCTTCAGTTAGGAAATGAATGGAAGCACCTCCCTGGAATAATGATCTGTCAATCAACGAATTGTAATGACTTGTATAATACATTGGCAGCTACCCCATTCTCATTTGGTATGGTAGGCAGTAAAATTATTATTTTTATTAATATACTGACTGTAATATAATAATGTATAGGTTGTAAAATATATTTCTAGATCAGTGTAGTTGAATAGTTCAACTCTCTGGTCTATTTTTAATGGTAACTGTTCATCACTATAAATTAATCCATGGCCACATCAATAAAAAAAAAGGGATATAAGCAAGGACACTAAACTGCTTGCGATTTTTTTTCCTGTACGAAACATTTACATGAAACTCCACTCGGGCCGTCTCGACTGAATCGACCCGAAAATCTCATACAGTATTTTAGAATTCAGGAGGTCAAAAGGCCAAGGTAATTAATGCTGAAAATTATTATTATTATTATTATTGTTATTATTATTATTATTATTTAACATTAATTACAATTTACAACGATAGTACTTTTGCCAAGTTCAATAATGCCGGAATGGTATATTTTATTTAATTTTGTCTTATGCACTCTAATTTTTATTTCATGCTTCAATTTTTTTCCATTTGTTTTTCAAAATTTCAATCAACGTCTGTATGTGAAGCGTGACTGTTGGTGTCTGCCTAGGACCCTAGGTACCTAAGCCTATAGTTTAAGGAGAGGCCTATGTAGGACTTACTCAGCCTGTAGTTAGGCATCCTCTTTCACTCTAGCCTTTGGTATTACTGTACCTATCTACACTTTATAAAAGGGGGTACTAGCTGTTGTTGTATCTATATTATACTAACATTTAATAACATCAAGAAGGTCACAGTTAGTTACACACGTACATCCCATAAATCCGTTAAGATATCATCATGGTTCATCATCATAGGCCTACCGTAGGTAAACTTAGAAAGAGCAATAATAGTAAAACTCGAGCGTCACAACATTGCGAAGAGTCTGCTCTTGTTCCTCGTATCGAACACAGTCGAGTCAATCCGAGATGGCCCGAGTGAACTTTTATGTAAATGTTTTGTACAGAAAAAAAAAAATCGCAAACTGCTTATATGGGACCTCCATGTAGTAACACTGAAGGCCGTAGGACTGTTCCCATATCAAGATAGAGTTAAGTAGGCTATTAATCACTTTTCAATACAAAATGCAAATGCAATAGACCGAATTAGTGATCGACGCTGTTCATCTATAGTGGGTATTCGAACCAAAAAAAATGCATGAAGATAGACGATTTACACAGTAATTTAAGAAAATAGCCTTTACTAAAACGTCTCATACACGCTTTGTGTGAAAGTTGAGCGTGATTTAAATTTACAGAAACCATTGTTACATGTTTATGAATGTAACGTCATCTTTTCTCTACGATTGTGTATGCCAAATGTGAAATATAACGAGAATAAATCGTACTATTTTGGGAATAAAACGCACATTGGTCGTGTCTGCCTGTGTAAAACAGCACGACGACGGCAGCCGTGTATTCACTCACAGTGAATCATGGCGTCGGTCGATGAATGTGCTTGTTACAAAACACATGAAATGTGTTGTACTTGCAGATTTCAAGGAGAGCTAAGTTATTCAAAATTATTGAATAATGTTCCTAAATTCACACCAATAACTTTGGCAGACTGGATGTTTAAACAAGTAAAAGACTTGACGACAGCACGGAGCTGAACGTTTACAGTCAGGCCTCACTCAATCATCACATCCAGCCATGTCGCGTTGTTGTGCAACAAGTGTCAGGGGCCGAGGCCTAGCCTGTAAAAACTATGTATATTTAACTTAATTTTACATGAAAATCAAATCAAACGTCTTTTGCTGGTTCTATGAACCTTCCTTAACCTACCAATGTTTTAAAAAGTATTTTACCCGATTACTTTGGTTTTATTTGCTTTTTTTCCTGGACCATACAAAAACTTGCAACGTTATAGAATAGGACTTTTAGGCTTTGTTCACAATTTTATACACACTCAGCCAAATTGTGATGACGTCATCTTTCGTCGCTAATTCGGTATATTGAATTGTTTTAGAGTAGACTAGAGTAGTTGATGTTCATTAGAAAAGAGTAATTTTTTAATCACATTGTCATCGTCATTTGTTTTATTATATTTTAATATTAAAAAATTATAATACTTGAATATAGTTGAATGTAGCAACACTCAGAATCATGCCTTGACTATCGAAAAAGCGACGAGTGGCATTGCCACCTAAGATGGGTCAGAATCGACAATACCTTGCAGATAATTTTAGTGATTTACCCGAGGACCCGAAAGATTTAAAGAATGGTCACATGCTGCTGCTTTACATCACAAGTGACAAGTCCCCAGCAAGAACAGTAAAGGCAATCATGGAAAAGTACACTTGCAATATCACTCCATCCAAGGTATTCTCTTAGGAATTTTGCAAAGAAGTTCGCAGACAGTACCTCAGAGTTCATCAAGAGAAAATATGCAACCTTTTGTTGTGAAAGATTCATACTTCATCCACCAAAAGTGCAAGCTAGTGATTCACCTGGACTTTCAGCTTGTAAGTACAGTATACAAAAATAAGTAGGCCTACTAAATTTATTTTATATTATTTTTATTTAAACTATTTCCAACAGCAAAATCACCAATTAAAATGTAAAAAGAAACATTAATTGTCTCAATTATGCCAACCTATGCACATTTATTATTTATACTGTACATTTAAAATTGTATTTTGATTAATTTTTTCTTCTTTCTCCAGCTATTTCTCGGGCATCAGAATTAGCAGTGCCTAAGACGCCAACAAAAGTACAGTCACCCAAGAAGTCAGGAACCAGGCAGTCACCCAAGAAGCCAGGAACCAGAGAGTCACCCATGAAGCCAAGAACAACGCAGTCACCCAAGAAGCCAGAAACCATGCATTCACCTAAGATGTCGGGAACAACGCAGTCACCCAAGAAGGCAGATGCAATAAAGTCAGCCAATATGTCAGGTGCCACGCAATCAGCTAAAATGCCAGGTGCCATGCAGTCACCAAAGAGGCAAGGAAATAGGCAGTCACCCAAGACGAAAGGAACCAGGCAGTCACGCTTGAAGACGTCAGGAACAAAGCAGTCACCCACGAAGACATCGGGAACAAAGCAGTCATCCAAGAATCTGGGATCGACTGTTTGCTTGTCCAAATGCGAGCCTATAACTCCAAGAAAGCAAAGGCTCAAGAAGAGATTTGTTGCACATGCAAGGAATGTGATGAAGCAAAAATACAAAAGGAAGGTAGAAGAGCTACAGTCCCATGTTGACTTTCAATGAGTACACCAAATTAAATACCTGAAGCAGGACATCAACCGCAAAAAGATTGTCACTACAAAACAGAAGGCTAAAATAAAGCTGCTGAATTCAAATACTGCAAATAAAGAGGAACTCAATAAACTGAAAAAGAAAATAAAAAATGAATGGAAAAAACACAAACGTACAGTGAAAATCCTATCTAAGTCTGCTGTGACAGATTCAGAATCAACTGATTATGAAATTCAACTGAAGGAGCAACTAAAGGTGAAGAACAAAGCAATTCAAAAATTGGAAAATGAAAATTTGTTTGAAGGAAAGTGTTGATACCTTACAGTCTAGCAAATCAAAATTTCCGAAGCAGAAGAAGACATACTCCATGGACACAAGGATGCTCGTGTATGACTGCATTGTAAATAATGTGCCAACAAAAAATGTGCCTGTGTTAATAAGGCAGTTTGCAATGAGGTCTGATACTGTTATAAATCAGGTTCCTCATTGAAACACTGTAGAATTTATGGCAAGAGAACTTGGTGTAGTTTCAGATTTCATGGCTGCAGAACTTCTTCTGGACGAAAAAAAGAATTGATGCTGGTCTTTGATGCCACTACACAAGAGGGATTGCATGTCAACAGCATCCATATAACAAGCACAGATAAGTGCTATGTCCTTGGAGTCGAGCAGTTGCCTAGTGGAACAGCAGAAGTATATGATCTTCACATCAGTGAGACCTTAGATTGTTTAACAGACGTGTATTGCCAATACTACTCCACGGATTTTGCAGCAACTCGACAGCGAATCATAAGTAATATTTCAAATACTATGACTGACTGCGCCAGTGTCAATCATGCAACCATGCAACGACTGGAATTAAGCTGGCGAAAAAACCTGAACGAACTAAATTGTCATCTCCACCCACTGGACACCATTGCTAGTTTTGTTCGGACAGCACTCAAAGCCCACGAACCCCATGGTCTTGTCAAGAAGCTCGCATCAGCTCATTCTTGCTTTTAATAAGTTCCGGTATAAAGATGGACGGGGTGACCCGAAAGGGTTAACAAGTGCCTTAGAGAGTGCTAGACTACCAAAGGGTCTCTTGCCTCGCTCAGGGGTGACATTTCAAAATATGCTCTTGCAGCTGATCTCATCTGCGGAGATCTTACCATGTCATGATCATGTAAATATATAGTTGAAGTTTGAAGGTTTTCTGTTAATATTCTTTTTTAAGAGGTCAGGTTATATTTTTCCTGCATTTATTTTATTGTAATTATGGCATATATTTTATGTCTTTGTTGTAGAGAAAGGCGAAGAAGGAATATTGAGATTTAAGAAATTTTTTAAAAATATGTTAACGAAAAATAAAATTAAAAGAAAAGTTTAAGTAAGTTACAGTATGTATGTTACTGAACGCATATGGAAAATGATACATTAAGTATTACTAATACTACCTATATCAATACTGTAATATGTAATATATGTATATCATATTTTGATAAAATAATAGTGGGACGACCATAAGAAAGAGAAAAAAAAATTATTTTCCAATGGAGGGTAGGAAAGGGGGTAGGAAAGGGGGTTGGGTTGGGTTGGGTGTGGTGAGGGTGGGGGTGAGTGTCACACACCCCTACATATGCCACTGCTTTTGTTCACTTTGTGTGCTTTCAAATGTCTTATTCATTGAGGCATGTGTAAAATCGTTATGCAATATTATAATTAATTATTTGTAATTAATTAATTAATTTAATTGTTATTTAATTAATAAATGATTGAATTTTAATGAGTTTTATAATGCTTCTTTTTTCCATTTTGTATGCTTCCAAATGCTTTTTATTTTATTGAGAAATGTATAGAAACAAAAAAGTTAGAGTGCTCTAACTTTTTTGAAAAAAAAAAAATGCTCATTTTTTGTACGTTTTTTTTAAGAACAAGGTCACATACTTCTCCATTGTTTACATAGGATTTGAAGGACCAAAATTAGGAAAAATTAATAATCTCTGAAATTCTGTTTAAACTTTGCTAATATTTGACGCAGTGTTCTCCCAACTGGAAAATTTTTACTGGTAAATTTGTCCTTAAAAAATTGCAATGCGCACAATGTGAGGTACGTTACCCCTTTTTAGTTGGGTTAAATGACTTGAAGACACAACAACACATATTCATAGTGTAGATATGGACTGGAATGATGTTAATTTATTAAGAGGGCCAGCCTGGACTACCTAAGCCTAATCAATAGTTTTTTTTATTTTACAAACTCAAAATTTTTACTGGTTGGTTGGTTATTTTTACCGGTAAAATTGACGGCTAAGACGGCTTCGGGAGAACACTGTGACGGATGACAATGATCTTGGTATCAATTTAATTCTATAATAATACTCTTTCAAATGATACCAACTGCAAAGGAATTGCTTGAATTTGAAATTTTTTATCACATACTGTACCTACCAAAACTGAAATAATTGCAACAGCAGCCGAATATTTATTTATAAATATTAAAAAAAGTGCATTGACAATTTACCTCAACTAAACAAGTTCCATTTATTTCATGTGACCTTACTCGACCTCTACGTCATACCTCATAAAACTCAACTTTTTCTATTGTTTTACAGTCATCGAAATTTAAACATATAGGCTTAGTTCAAGCATATCAATAGTGTGGTTCTTAAACTTTTTCGATGAGGCCATCTTTTTTGGTAGACGTTTAAAATTATGATTAAAGATAAAAAAAAAGGTTGTGTTGCCTTCCGCGACCGACCAAAATTTTTCAAAAAATTGGTTCGGCTTTATCATTTATTTATTTTTTTTAAATTTAATAAATTCGGAAAATACCCATTCCGAAATTAACATTTAGAACGTACATGTATTTTAACCAAAATCAGCCATAGATGCACGCGTCAAATCGGTAAAATTGAAGGCATAATTTTTGAGAACCGGGCGCGACCATGATGATGTATGCACGCAACATCGGATCTCATGCGCTGAGCTGTCAAACCACGATTAGATCTAGAGAGGCTTGGCATTGCCTATTCTTTACTACTTTACAACTAGTGGTTGCTTGAATTAAAAATCATATTCATTATCTTACGGTATATTGGGCAATAAATAAAAACAGGCTTAGGTTTAGCCATCGCTTTAAAGCCGGTACGTAGCTAAACATTGCTCCGTTGCGGTTTTAGGCAAACCTTGAACGAATCATTTTCTTTTTTTGTCGAGAAGTTAATTACTTTGATTGTATTATGTAGTGGGCGCTTGTTTGGCCATTTTTCATAGCCATAGTAATGGTTTTGCTCGATCACGATCATTAGGTTTGGCAATATTAAGAGACCTTGTGAGGAGGATACTAGTCGATATCCCTCTACTTTGTACGCTAGAAAGTGTTTACAAAGATAGTCAGGGGCTAGAACATAGCAATTCTAAGAGCTAAGCATCCCAATTGAAAGTTGATCTATTACTGTATGCAGTTTGAGTGTGTTGAGGGTGTAAGTGGATGTGATTTGAGGATAACCTAAATGAAAATCAACTTGAAGGGACATAAGCCTGGTTCACGTCGAACTTTATCTAGATATACCTGTCTTGAAACATGATACGATAATCCCCTAATTTCGTTCAATGCCAAGTAAGCCAGATAAACAGCCAGCCAGTTTCAGGCCGTCGACGTCACACGGTGGAAAGGCTTGTTTAATAAAACATCTACTGTATTTTACGAACCTCTAGTACCAAGTGGTATTCGTTAACAAAAAATTGTAAACTACTGTAGAGAAGGTGTGAGTTTCCACTACCAACCTAGCCGACCAGTACGAACCAACCGACAGTGCAGCAGCGTGTTCTATCGCAATCTAAGTAGTAGATTCTCAAGGCCCTAGCTAAATTTACCTTCTATAAAAAACTAATTATTTTAATCGCTAGCTAGCATTCTTCCATTAACAAAATATTGTTTTAATTCTCATTAAAACGTCTGTATACTTTATGGACCTTTCTGTCCTTTTTTTTAGTTTTTAGATCGCTCAATTGTGTTGTTTACATGCACTTCACGAAAATCTAGCTTTGCGGTGTCAAATAAGTTGCGACTTCAACACACTTTTTTATTTCGTCATCGTAAACATGTGCGCTCATTTTTAACGACTGGTTGTTGGTGGTAGTTTGTAGAAACTTAATTAATAGTGACTATTATAGCGAAAATGGAAAAGATTGAATTGTCAATAAATATATAAATACAACAAATCTGATTTCATTATTAAGAATAATATACATTATCACTTTGGAAAACTTACGCAATCGGACTTTTTGACATTACTGCTTGGTCGATGATGCAAAGGGCAAAGGTCATTTGTAATGCGACTATTCGTAAAAAGGACGTTTGCTGGTTTTTTACCCATAATATTACAAATAATTTCTAAAAACCAGACTAATGAGACTACTATGCTGCTGTTGTTGGAGTATGTTGTTGCCAGCCAGAAGATGATAATGGTGGTACAGCACAACAACGCTGACTTAGATGCCTACGTTACGTAATCATGTCCTTGTAATCTGAGCCGACTTTACCGTTAAGCAAGTTAATTTACCGAACTATTCTAGTAAAGTTAAGTCACTTAACTTTAAGTGAATTAAGCCTTTATCTAGCTATAATTCAGTGGTTCACGTCGAACTTTTAACTAGTTAAGTGAATCTATATCTAGATAAAAGTTCAACGTGAACCAGGCTATAGCACAGAATCTACTCTTCTGAAAGTGTTCAATGATATGTTGATTGCTCGTGATAAAGGCCATTGTGTTCTATCAGTCTATCTTGATCTGTTTAGCTGCATTTGATACCATCGATCACGTTATACTCCTTCGCTGGCTGCCTGAAGTTGGAGTCCTTGGTATGCATGGGCGCAGACCACATATTTTTAAGGTGGTTGATCCCCCCCCCCACTCCACTTTTCGCATGAGGAAACTTTACCCATTTACCAAAGTTTCTATTTTCGAACCAGATTGTGCTGATCTCTTCTTATCTCTATTAATTACTGCTTCAGGAAATTATGTAACAAGATTAACAGTGAAGCTAATTAGTTGTGAATAGTTTAATAGAAAGACTAGCACAATTAAATCAAAACTGTGTTGTAACTTTTAACATAAGTCATTGATTTTTAAAATTCAAAAACATATCCATTATGTTTTTTATTTTAAATTACAACTAAGGTAATACAAATGCCTAAAAAATTTATAAACAACAGGTTTTTAAAATTGTCTAGCTTGGTTTTTAGCTACTATACTGTTAATTTATTGACAAATAGCAATGCCTGCTGTAATGATGACTTTCTAAGTAGAGCCTGTATTCTTCTTTTAGTAGGCCTGTTACTCTTCTTACATTTTATCATCATGGTTTTGGCTGCTTTCACTGCTGCCTCTGCTTTACCATTTGCATTTGGATGATGTGGAGATGAAGTTCGATGCTGGAAATCCCAGTTAGCACTGAATTTGCAGAAATCTTGACTAACAAATTGCGGACCATTATCTGAGATTACAACTGATGGGATTCCATTTCTTGAGAAATGTTGTTTGAGATTCTTTATGACACATTTGGATGTTGGTTCAGTCAGTTTGTCTACTTCCCAAAAATCCACTGTAGTAATCGACTGTAGTCATGTAGTCTTCCTTGTCAAGTTTAAATAGGTCCACTCCTACTTTCTCATAGGGATACTGTACTTTGATTCTATAGGTATTAGAGTCTCTTTCATCTGTGCCTTGTGGTATGTTTGACAGGCATCACAAACTGGAGCCATTGCCTTATATCTTGTGTCATACCAGGCCAAAAGATGCATTCACGTGCTCTTCTCAGCATACTGTCACCTCCTAAGTGAAAAGTGTGTAAGTGTTCTTTAATCGCCTTGTGTATCGACTGAGGTACAACTACACGTTCGCCTTTGAAGATAAGACCATCATGGACTGCCAGTTCGTCCCTGTATGAGTAATAAGGTGTTAGTTGTGTTGGTATCAGCTCCTTCTTGTCCGGCCATCCTTGGATGATGACTGCTTTGAGGACTCTCATTGTGTCGTCTCTTGCTGTTCCAATTTTCAGCTCATTGAGACGCTCAG